GTGTGTGTGTGTGTGTGTGTGTGTGTGTGCATGTGTGTGTGTCTGTGAGAGACATAACTTAACCTTTCGTTTCTTCCGTTTCACCCAGCTGGAACTTGGAACATTTGGTGGAGCATTTCTCAAACATGCTTTCCCCAGGGAGGGCGTGGAGCGTCTACAAACATGAAAAGGGAGGTTTGCTCACTCTTGCACACCAAGAAAAGGAGAACCAGTTTTCCAGCCCAGGTCCTCCTGACTCTCAGGAGCATGTTCATGGCTCTGCTTCTGCATAGCTGCTCTGGCCAAGTCATCTGGGCAGCCCTGAAGGACCTGTGGCTGGTAGACCGACAATAGCCACCCGCTGCCGGGACACTGAATATCCGGGCCCTGATAGTCATTGCTCTCCTCCTCCAGCTCCTCCTCCTTCTCTTCTTCTTTCTCCTCCTCCTCGTTTTTCTCCTCCTCCTCTTTCTCCTCATTTTTCTCCTCCTCTTCCTCCTCCTCTTTCTCTTCTTTCTCCTCATTTTTCTCCTCCTTTTCTCCTCCGCTTCCTGCCCCTTCTCCTTGTCATTGTGTCTGATCTGTCTGCATGGGTAAACATGGGCACTGGCAAGGTCTTCAATGCAGCTGGTACAGTAGCATCCAGGCCTGGAGTTCAAAGACCCTGCAGGAAGACACCCAGGCAGATTTCACTGTGGTGCAGGCCTTGGCTGTAGGAAGCTCTGTGATGGCCGCTCCCATCTTGAAAACTTCCTAGCTGGCACTTGCATGGGGACCCTGCTTGCCGACCTTTTAAACAGACCCTCTGTGCCTGAGAGTCATGGGAAGTAAGCATGTGGCAGGGCTCTCCATGGCTGGCCGACTCCAGAGGCTCGGATGTCAAAACTTAATCCGAGCGTGACGCTTGACTTCTACTCTTACGGCTAGAAACAGTGGGACATCAGGCTTTGGGTGAATTTGCAGCCCAGGCGGGCTGGGGCAAAGTGGGCAGCACGTGTGTGCAGGACTCCCCTATGTCCTGGCTAGCAAGGTGCTTGGCACAGCTTGCTGTCCTCAGCTAGGAACTGGGTAAGTGGAGATGAAGCCACATTTTCAAAAAGCTATTTCCTTCGGGGTTTTAGGAAATACTAATAGGCAAGTTTCCACTAAGGACTCAGGCTTATTTTTGTACAGAGGCAGCACGACACTCTCACCAACAAGCATCAGGTCCCCAGGGACCTTGATCCTGATTCTTGTCCCCTGTGGACTGTGGCGCTGGATGCCCTCACATGTATGTCTCCCCTTCTCTGCAGCAGCTGTATGCCTACCTCTTCACAGTAGGACTAGAACAAAGAGACCCACCACCTCAAATGGCTCCGCCTGATCTGAGTGGGGTCTGTTCGCCTGTCTCTGCTGCAGGCCTCGGCCTGGCCACCCAGAGCCTCTCCTCCCCTGGCTGAGCTCGTCCTCTGAGCCTAAGGAAGGTGAACTGAGTGTTCTTCGTCTCCCTGACAAAACCCACGAACATGGAGGCCCCTCTCAGACTAAGCTGGAAACATGGACTTGGATGGAGTGCACAGGAGAAAGGCAGGGTGAGGCCTCACTTCTCATAGCCAGCTGACACTGAGGTCCAGACAATAAGTCTCTGTCTGGGTAAAAGAAGCGGCCCCTGCTGCTGCTGCTCTTCCGACTCTCTGTATGCACGAAGAGCCATTATCCTGTCTCTCTTCCTATCTCTATGATGCTAACACATGCTCAGACTTGAAGAATGAGGAGGGAAAGTAAGGACTGCGAATGGAAGAAGACTTCCCTGCCCTCCAACGCCCCAAGGTCCACCCAGAGACAATGTCTGAGGAAGCTTTCCCTGCTGACCTCCTGTGACACCGCCTCTTCAGAACAGTCGTAGGCCGCCTTCTCTTTATTTGTGTTTGAAGACGCTCATTGTTGGGCTGGAGTGAGACAGCCCAGGTGGTTAGTGTTTGCTGTACAAGATCCAAGTTTGATCCCCCTGAATCCATGTGGGAAAGAGCGGATATGATGTGAACCTGTAATCCAGACCTGGAAGGCAGAGTGAGGTGGGTCTATCTCAAAGGAGAACAGTGGTTCTCCCTCTCCTTTGTGACTTCAGTTACCCTGGCTCAACTGAGGACTGAAAATATTAAATAGAAAAATTTTAGAAATGGGGGCTCCAGAGATGGTTCGATGGTTAAGAGCATTTACTGCTCATCCGGGAACCTGAGTTTAGTTTCCAGCATACATGTCAGGTAGCTTACAACCAACCAGCAGCCTATAATTCCAGTTCTAAGGGGCCCAATGACCTCTTCTGGATTTTGGGGACCTGCAACTTGTGGCATACACACATAGACATAATTTAAAAATAAAACAAAAATCTAAGAGGAAAGTTTTAGAAATGAAGAATTCATGTTTTGAATTCCATGGGCTTCTGCGTAGAATAATGAACTCTTATGGAGCCCTGCTTCGTTCTGTCCAGCACTGAATCGCCTTTCCCCAGTGAATCCACATAGAATGTACTACCCTCTCATCACACATGAAAGCCTAGGTGGCCCTGCTCCCTTCTGTCCAGCACTGGAAGCACCTTTTCCCAGTGTATCCACATAGTATTATACTACCTTCTTACCATTCATAAAACTTCTAAAAATAAAAGAAAAAGAAATAGGATGAGAGTGGGAGGAAGGCTATGGGGGTGTGCACACACAGGGAGGGGAAGAGTCTGTGCTGCTCATCATGGTAGGACTGTCAGGTGAGGCAAATCAGCTTCTGGCTTCCTCCATAACTATGGGCAGAGAAGAAAGGAGCTCCCATCCTGCAATCACCTCTGAAGGCCTGACCCCGTGACCCACATGCTCCAGCTAGGCCCCACTTCTGCGGAGTTCCAGAATGTCCTAATAGACTCCACTGTCTGGTGTCTATTCTTTCACATACAGCCATTTGAGGAACATTATAGATGTAAGCTATGGGTGATGTCGGAAAGCAGTGGATGACACTGGGGCTGAAGAGAGGAAGAGCCGTAGAAGACGCATCAGCGTGCCAGCATTCAGGACAGAGTCCCATTGGCTAGGGCCAGAGAGAGAGGGTCATCCGTATGTTAATCTCTGGGTCAGAAAAAGGATGAGGGAGGGGCGAACTCAGGAGGGAAGATGGAGAGCTGAATTTGCGTGCACTGAGTTGGAGTGTGTTTTGTGACTTTACCATGAATTTCTCACTACCGAGGCACCAAGCCCATTCATGAAGCCAAGTCTTATTACCACATCTCTGTCTCTGACAAAATAGCATGGTAACTTTCCAGTCACGGAGCCAATCCATTTCTATAGTATAACACTTGAAAATTTCAAAAATGGGAAATAGAACAACTCAAAATTTGACTACTCAAAAAGAGTAAAAATGTTCAGTGATGTATGCATAGATACTTATATTTGTATTTATATTTATACATGTGTGTTTATTTATCCTGAGCTATATCAAGAATTTTTACAATAAAACACTTTTTATAGCATGTTTTAAAATGTGGGGCCCAAAAATACTTACGGAACAAACCTGATGACCTGAGTTTCATCCTTGGAACCTACGGTGGAAGGGGAGAATTGGTTTCCGAAAGTTGTCCTCTGACACACACACGCACACAACTAAAACATGTGGCCCATGTTTACAGCCTAAGACACTCCTGACTGGTGCCGTTATTCTCATAAAGTGTCAGGAGCATAAATCAGGATAGGCTCTTATTTCCAGGACTGCTTCATGGTGTCCCTGACCCCTTACATGCTAGGAGATGATATTTCCTACTAGCAGGGATGTGACCCTACTTAGCATCAAGGACTCAGGACCAAAGACAGCTCCAGGGTCCTGGCAGTAAGCCTTGTCCTTCAGGTCTGAGGTTCATGGCTGCTCGGCCTGCCAGCAGCTCACTGGCCTTGCACGCTTCTGCCTTCACATCGCCTCTGGTTCCCTTGCTTTATTTCCCAACAGACATTTTCAGTCTTCAGAATAAACAGGAAGAAGAGCAAGCCGTTGCCTAGTTACAAAGGACAGTGTCCCATCAGTCCCTGGGGCTGGGCTACACATGAAGCTGGCAGGGGCTTCCTGCCCACCTGGGTGAGAGCTCTTGTCTTGTCTAGGGTGTTGGTGGGAGGAGGAGGCACTGAGAGGCAGTGGGAGGACCATGGGGCAGGAAGGACGAGGGCTCTGTGACTCATCCTCTCTCTGTGGTCCTTCTGTCGGTAGGGTGTGTGGGTGAGCCCTCCGGGATGGAAATCACCCAGTTTTCATCCCAGAGGAAACGGACGTTTGTGCAGCTTTTGAAAACGAGGTGGTCCTTTGTCACACATGTTACGAGCAACTGTAGGAGAGAAGGCAGGCTATGCATCAGCCACAGATGGTGTGCATTTTATGATTGATGATATGCAAACCTTGTTAAGTTTTCTGAGCAGGAAAATACGTGTGTCCCCCGGAGTGATAAGAAACAAAGAAGTGGGGGGCTTGAGTAATTGTGAGGGAAACTGGGTGTGGGGGGAAAACTGAAAATGCTCAGTTGGAAGTTCAAAAAATTACCCATGCGGTGATGGGTAGGGGAGGGTGTGTTCTGTGCTTCCCCTGGCTGGCTGGTGGCTGGCTGGCAGCTCTGTGCACACAAAGTTCAGAGCAGGGCAAGCTGACGCCCAGCAGGGGCCTTCTCACCCCCACCCATCTCCGAGAACAAAGGGACCCAAGGGGTTGTGCTATGTGGTGTTGTGACCATGACAAACACTTTACTCTGCTTAAAGAGGGAGGGTGAACTTGGGATCATCACATCATTTCAGAAGCTTTAGTCCATGGCTGCCTGAATCTCTTGCTTTTTTAGGGCCTGCGCTGAGGAAGAATGCAATGAAGAGGACTGTGTGGAAGACCAAAGTCTCTTACCTTATGATGGAGGGAAGAAGGGATGGATGGAAGGAGGGAGAGAGGGAAGGGGGAAGGGAGGGAGGGAGGAGAAAGGGAGGAAAGGAAGGGGGAAAGGAAGGAAAGAAGGAAGGAAAGAGGGAGGGAGGGAGGCAGAGAGAGAAACCAGAGTCCCAAAATACTTCAATACAGCAGGATGGTGACTCGGCTGTTATTTCCCAATGGTGAGTTTTCTGGGTCCTGGCACCCTATACAGTGCGTGTGCATGTGGGTGTGCATGCATGTGTCCCTGTGAAGATGTGGAGGGGAGGCCTGGGTCACACTGAAGTTTACATCACCATCACTGCCCAGTTCTGAAGCCAGACTCAGTCCACCAGCGCAAAAGACACTCTGGAGATTCCAAAGGCTTCTGGAGCTGTGTGTCCGGAGCCAGGAACAAGGAGGGCGCACACATGCTTGCTATGGCATTACCCCCCCGCCGTGCCTTCTTTTACACTTGTGCTTGGTGTGTGCGTATGGGAACATTTGTGTGTATGCATACGAGGAGGCCAGAGGCTGATGGCACTTGCCTTCCTCGGACCCTCTCCACTTCATCTTTGGAGGCCACTGGTCTAGTTAGACTGGCTGGCAGAAGGAGACTGGGGTTGCCCGTCTCTGCATTCTCAGCTCTGCAATACGGGCACCCCACCTCCACCTCAGGCCAATCCTCTCAAGCCCTGCGAGTTGAACTCCGGTCCTCATGCTTGCGTGGCAAATGCTGTGCCCACTGAGCCATCCCCCTTCCTCTTGGGCCTTTGGAAGGCAGGCTGAGCCATCTATACACTGTAGAGAGAGGCCAAGGGTTTGTACCTCAGCAGCAACTCTGAGCTTGGCACTGGACCCAGGCCTCCGGGTGGAGGAGGGAGAGGCGTGCTCCTCCCCTTCTGCAGCAGCTATGTATGACCTCACACCCTCCACGAAACCCCTGGGTGTGGTTGCTCTCTCTTCCTCTGTGGAGTTTTTCCAGGTTTTGCATTAAAAAAAAAAAAAAAAATCATGAAACAAGTTCCTGTACTGGGCCTGTTTGGAAAATATGTGGATTTTTTTTTTTTTTTGAAAACACCCTAGGGTTTTTTTGTTTTTTTGTTTTTGTTCTAAATAAGGAAATAAAATTTAGAATGATTAATCCAGGGAAGATCTCACACAATTCATGAAATTAATTCTTTCCAACCTCTCTTTATTTGGTAGTAGTGTGTCCTTGGCAATGGCACAAACTCAGGACTGAATTCCTCTGACTCTGTCCCTTGCTAAACAAGAAGTTCACATGGCCTCTAAGTATTCAGAGAAAAAGAAATAATTGGATTGAAGAAGATGATGATGATAATTGTGGGGTCCCTTTGTGCCCTGCCTCCCACAGTACTGTGACTGAGTACTGCATACATAGCCACACCCCTGGACCCTTTATCTTCCACAGGACCTGAGCCGAGTCTTGGGGTCCAGCATTTGTGTTTCCGCATGCCCTGTCTCCCACAGTGTAAGGGCTGAGTCCCTGGGCCATGCCATGCTCCTGAATGCAGAAGTGGTTGTCAAGGAAGGCAAGGTTTTAGCCACGTCTTGGTCATAGGGTGATGTCTAAGATGTGAAAACCTAACATCTCCTGTCCCCTTTGGGGCTTGAATAGTTTTTTTGTTTTTTTTTTTTTGTTTTGTTTTGTTTTGTTTTTTGGCTAATAATTTGAATTAAAACATTAAGATGTTTTTATTGGCATGGATCTGTGCCCAGAGAGCCCCTGTTGAGATTTCCAAGTTATTGTGTCCTGGAACAAAGAACTAGACCTGGGTTGTACGGACAGTGATAAAAATAGAGACTGTTTATTAAGAGAGGAGAATGCTCCTGAGGTGGACCGAGGGCTGGCAAAGAGGAGGAGCTCAAAGGCCCTGGGCCCAGGGAGTCTAGTGCCTCTGTTGACCATTTGCATAGTGTCTGCCTGCTCCTGTGTGGATTTGCATAGTATTCTCCTAGTATCTGAAGGTCACAGGGCCTTTTGCAAGCATTTTTTGCCTTGTGTGCAGCCCATGGCTGGGTTTCCAGTCTCTTTTGCCATTGGCATCTTTCATGTGTGCATCAAAGTGCTTTTGGAGCCTCCTGCCCCCAACCTTGTTCATCACCGTCACTTTGTTGAGATGGTTGCACAGTGACAGAGGGTAGCGCTGGCATTGTCCCCATGAGGCTCAGTCTCATCCAGCTGCCCTGACTCTGAAACCAGGGGAAGAAAACTTGTGGCTTCCGTGGCCTCTCCATCAACACTTAGAGGTCGCATTGCTACACAATAACTCTTCCGTTGGCTTTACCATAGGTAACTTCTCTAGCCAATGGGGCATGGCAGTTAGGGTTGCCTAACCGCTCCTCAGGAACTCAGGTAGCTCTAGCTGACTGAAGCCACTGAGCATTCCCGTAGGCTTGTGCAAATGTCTACTGGGCAACCTTTCAACACAGTGGGCTCCAACCTGTACCCTCCAAGCACACAGATGCTGTCCACACCCAGTGAAAAGCCAGAAGCCGTGACTTGGGGTACGAGGACCACTGATCCAGTGATTTTCCTCACCCCCGTCTCAGGCCTCTGTTTGTTCTTACCACAACAACCCTGACCCCCAGTCCTCAGCACCTGACCCCGGAGGCTCCTGCCTCTCTGCATCGGCCTTTCTCTTCCGTGAAGCTGGTCACCTCAGCCATGGGTATGCTGTGTGGTGCGAATCTCTCATTAAACCCAGAGCTCCAATGACTCCGTTCACAGCTTTCACACTAGCTGTGAGTTACTGCACGAAGTGTCCTGTAGTTCTGCTCCTCCTTACTGCCACTGCCCTAATGCCAAACCTTTTCCTAGCCCTGTCTGCAATGCCTTCCTTCAACACTGCTGTCCAGGTTTCACCAAGGACTGTAACCTGTGTGGAACACAAGGATGTTCTCAAGAAACTCTCATGCCTCTCAGTCTGGTTGTCAGACTATTGAAACAACGGACCCCAAAGAAATGGGAATCCTCCTGGAATCTCATTCTGTGGGAGGGAAAACATGCCAACTAGAGGGTAGCTTTTGTCTTGGTGTTCTCACACAGTTCTAACCCCTTGTCAGACCACCTTACAGAATGAGACTGAAGCCCAGGCAAGGTTGGGTTAAGGGTGGGCAGGACCACACCTTAACCAGAACTGCTTAGATCAGCATGTCCTCCACCCTTTATTTAAAGTTTAACCTCACTTCGGGACCTCCAGGATGGACATGAGGCAGGGCCACTGTCTTTGCCTCTTTAAAGGCTTACTTACTTATTATTTGTGTGTGTGTGTGTGTGTGTGTGTGTGTGTGTGTGTGTGTGTGAGCAGGGGGTGATGGTATGAGCATGTCACAGCACAAGTGTGAAGGCCATAGGACAACTTTGAGAAGTTAGTTCTTTCCTTCCACCTTTACATAGGTTCCAGGGATCAAATTCAGGTCACCAGGTCTGTGTGGCTTTACCCACTGAACCATCCTGCTTGCCCCTAACACCAGCCTTTGTAACAAGGAAAATACCAGAGCACACTCCCTCTGTGTCTGTCTCTGTCTCCCAGCCCATCACACAAAGAAACAACCAGAAGCCACCATCTGCAGCTCAGAAAGTTGGGCCTCACCTGAACCCAGCCAGGCCAGTCCCTTGACCCTGGATTACAGCCCTCAGAACTGAGGGTTCCTTAAGCTCCAGCCTGTGACAGTCTGCTGTGGTAGTCATGGGTGACACACACAGCCCCATTCTGGGAGTGGGGACCGAGTCTTGGAGCACAGGGTGCCAAGCCTTGTATTCTGAACTCCGCTGTTCCGATATCCATTCATGAGACATGGTTGTGAATGGGGACAGTGGGTGGCATGAATAGAACACGGCCCTGCCTTTCCCACCCAGGCTGTGTCCGCTGCTGCTGTCTCCACTGGCTGCCGCAGCTGTCTGCACATGGCGACCCATTCACAGACGCCCTGGGGACAATGCCCCAGAAACTGTCTCCCCAGCAGAGCGATGCCCTACTTTTAAGAATAGCTGTGAAGATGACAGAACTTTGAAGAACCAGGAGGAATCAGAGGGCAGCATGGCTTCCCCAGGGAGCCCCCGACTCTGGTCTGAGGGTGATATGAGGGCAGCATGGCATGAGGGACCACGTAGAGGCACAATGCCATGTCTGGATTCCTCCATGAACTCAGTCCAGGCTTGGCAAACAACCATTCAGATTTTTTTCTTAAAAATTCAAGACTATTTCCCCACAGCCCAGGGTCTGTCAGGACAATTGGGAAGGTGGGAGAATGGAGACACAGCAGCTCCTGGCTTTGACAGATTGTGGCTTCACAATGAGACCATTGAATTTTCTTTTCTCTTTCCTACCACTATTCTTTTTTAGAAGTAAAACTAGCCCAGGCCTGCAATCTCAGATACTTGGGAAGCTGAGGCAGAAGGATCAAAGGTTCATGTCCAGCCTGGGCAACTGAGGGAGAGTCCGTCTCAAATTTAAGAGAGTTAAAAAATGGGCCGAGGATATGCCTCAGTGGTGGAAAAATGCTTGTCATACAAGTCTGAGGACCCTAGTTCAAATCCCCAGAACCTATGTAAAATCCAGATAGGTAGTGTGAGGTTGTGTAGTCCCAGTGTTTTGCCATGATGACAGGGTAGGTGGAGAAAGGAGAATGCCCAGAAACTCTTAGAACAGATAGCCTGATGTACCCAGGAGAAGAGCAACAAAGAGATCTTATTTCAAATTGAGGCAACTGAAATGAATGATAGACACACACACACACACACACACGAGAGAGAGGGAGAGAGAGAGAGAGATTAAGGTTGCTTTTTTTTTTAATTAAAAAGAGGGCTAAGGATGTAGCTCATGTGTGTGGCCTGATTTAATCCCTGGTACTACAAAGAAAGGAAAGGAAGGAAGAAGAGTGTAAAACACTGGGGACACTTAAAATTGATTGGATGCAAGAGGTTCTGAACAAAAACACAATAGCATGCTCCATTTTAGATTTTATATATATATATATACAATGACAAGCACAGGTTTTTCGTGGTCTTGGCCTTTCTGTTTCTAGGGCAACATCCAGATACTCTTATTTGCAGGCACAAGTGGCCCTGCCTTCGCTGGCCTTGCTGTGTCATGCTTTTGAGTCTGTAATGTTAAAGTGACCAGTCACTGTGTGTCCAGTATTATTGTCCCTGCGGTCACCACGGTGCAATTTTGATGGCAAAAAGCAGAGCACACTTCTGGGTGATAGAATGAATTAGCAAGTGGCCATGGCTGTGTCTAAGCACAGTTCTGTTTTCCTGGCCATTGGGAGCATGGCCAGCACATTTGCTAGCTGTGTCATTTTCTAACCTCTGGGAGCAGCTGTCTGGAACACTCTGCCAGGCACCGACGGTGTGTGAGCAGGCTGCGGTTTACCAGAGTGCCCGAGAAGCTATCGGGGCAGAAGGCTGTAACCTCTGCCCCTGGACAGCCCACCGGCCTGTCTGTCTTCTCCGGCTCCAGGTTTTCAGCTGTGTCTTGAGAGCTTCACCCTGAGTGCACGGTCTCAGCCGTGGTCGGAAGTGAGAACAGGGCTGCTCGTCTCCTTGGAGCCCCCTTGGCCTTTTCTCCAGAGGCCTCCAGAAGGGCAGCAGCTACCACCACCTCCGTTTCATTCCTTAACTCCTCCTTGACTGAGTCCAGGTCAAAAACCTGTGTGTGTGTGTGTGTGTGTGTGTGTGTGTGTGTGTGTGTGTGTGTAAATAAGTGTGTGCATATGGTTGTATCCACGTATACCAAAAACCAGGGACCACATCATATTCATCAGTACATCTCAAACAATGCACACAAACAACACGCTGCCTAACAAATGTGTCAGTTCACACACCACACATTCACACAGTATAAACATGCAACACACATGTGCCACGGACAATTTACACACAGAGACACGCACATCGACACCACTCATCATACACATTGCATGCCACACTTACACACGTGTGCATACATGCAGTCTACGTTCAGATCCCTCCATTTTGTCATTGTCTCCTTGACTACAGACTTGACCACAGGAGGGGTTCCTGAGAAAATCCAGACTGAACTGTGTCCAGAGAGGGCACAGAGATGACAAAGTCCTCCCCCAGCACCAGCCACTGACACTTTTTCACTCACACATCTCCCAGCATCCATGGTACAATCATTGTACAAGATGGAGGCAGGGTGTTCCATGAGGACAGAGGGGGTACCCCCATTCCCACAAAAGCTTAGGGATCTGGGCAGGGGAAAGAAATCAGAAATGAGTGTCAGTGAATGTCATAGCAACGTTGGCAAGCAGGGGATGGAAGCCAGGAAGAGGGAAGCCAGAGGCTGATGGCCAGAGACCCTCCAAGGAGGGAGGCAGAGGCTGGGGTGCGGAATGGCTATCCCAGACGGGAGGAGGCAGGCTAGAAGGCCTTCCCTATCTGTATCATCCCCTGTGCAGATGGTCACAGAAGAATTTGGGGGGGGCACACCAGAAGCTCTGTGCCTACAAGTAGATATGTGCCCACGAGCTCACACCAGGGGACGGAGGCCCTGGGGCAGGTGAGTGTGTGAAGGAGGAAGATAGAGCTGGGTTGTGGGGGAAGGGCAGCTCAAGGCTCAACTGTCAGGAGGAGGAGGAGGAGGGAGGGAGGACCAGAGTCCCAGGGTCATTTCTCATCATTACGTTATGAAATACTTTCTAAACTGTGGAAGTGTTGAAGGGTAGAGCTTGCAGGTGTGTGTGTGTGTGTGTGTGTGTGTGTGTGTGTGTGTGTGTGTGCGCACTGAGACCTCATCCAGCTTTCTGCAATGTCAAGACATCTCACAACTACAGTTAAAACTGGGTGCTTTGTTTTTTGTTTTTTGTTTTTCAGCATTTGTGCCCTGGATAAGACCTGAACAAGATTGGCCTCTTCAGAGTTCCGTCCTGGGCGGGGGAAGGGCTAAACAGGCCCAACCCCTCTCTAACACTCTAACGGCAGTTACCGCACATTGGGAGGGGGAGAGGCATTTTCTTCAGTGCTGTAGCCTCCAGTCAACTGCCCTACTTCTGTAAATGACTTCCTCACCCTTGCTCCTGTAAGTAACTCTAAGCCAATTCTTTGTCTCACCAAAAACAAGCCAATATCGGTGGGAGGAGAAAAGGCAACTCTTTGGGAAAGGATCAGAGGGAGAGGGGTAGAGAGGCCAGTGGATCATTGATAAAAATGCGTTACACAGATGTATGAAAATCTTATAATGAAACCCATTGCTGTGTATAATTAATATGTAAACTTCGAAAAAGAGACTAGAGAGGTCACTCAGATGGTTCAGCATTTGCCTGGAAAGGATGAGGATTTGGTTTTGGTCTCCAGGGCCACACAAGAAAAGTGAGGGACAGTATCAGGGCTGGGAGAAAAACCCTTGGGACCCTCTGCCAGCCAATCTAACCTGATTGGTGAGCTTCAGGACAGTGAGTGATACTGTCTCAAATGAGATGGCTAGCTTTTCTGTGGATGGTACTCAATGCTGTCCTCTGCCCTCCACACACATGAGCGCGCACACACACACACACACACACACAAATCTAAAACAAAATAAAACAAATCTTCGAGGTTTCTAGTTGGAAAAGCCTGTTGACGGCATGCAGGGTCTGTTAAGTTTTGCCGCTTTTCCCATTTTAGGCTTCCATGCTGTGGTAGATCATTGCAATCCCGTGGTCTCTTCCGGTCTGCAGCACTTCCCGGCCCTTTCTTCTCTTCCGTACCCTTAGCACTTTGAGGACGCTCTGGCCCGTGGTCCTGTGGAATCCCGTTCCATCTCAGCATGCTTGGCAGTTTCTCAGACTGAGTTGCGGTTATGGAGCTGGGGAGAGGAACGCAGACACGAGCCCTCTCTCTCTCTCACACCCAGAGCTCACGGAACACCCACTGACACTTTTGTGGGCTGGACCCCCATCTCCTAGTGCAATGGTGTCTTCTCGGTTCCTCTGTTGGCAGGTGATTATTGTCACTCTTCCACGGACTGGTCAGAAGGGAGCCGTGGTTTCTTGCCCACCCTGAAGGGCAGAGGCAAATTCTGCTTCCCGGGTGGGAGGAGTGAGGGGTTGGGTTGGGTGGCGTGGCGGTGTGCATCCCTTCACTGAGAAGTGCTGCTCACATCACACACTTGATTGTCATGAAATGTGCCCTAGCCGTCTTTTCTCCCTGTGAAAGCGACATTTTGAATGCTAATACCTTTGGCAGTCTGGGGGACAGAGGTTGCCTGCCAAATAGCCATAATCCCACGGGGGACTTCTAAGCAAACCATGGGAGGTTTTGGTTTGCACAGACTCGAGGGAGCTCACAGTTAGGGAGAGACAGATAATCTACAGTCAGGTATCTCCTGTGTCTGTCTCTCTCCAGGTTCCCCCAAAGGCCCATGCATTTAAAGGGTCTGGTCCTGGCTCATGGCTTGACTAGGGTAATGTTGGTACCTCTCAGAGATGGGGCCATCGGAAGGAAACCTGTCACTTGGTCATGTTCCCGATGAGGGGATACTGGGGCACTGGCTCCTTCTTTTTTTCTTTGGATTATGAGATACTCTGAGGTAGACTACTACCATGATGCACTGTGCCACTGGAGACACAAAGGCCACAGGACCAAGTGGCCACGGATGGAAGGTCTAGAATGGTCAGCCGAGATACCCTACTAAAGTGACAAGGAAGCAGCAAGAGAGGAGAGCAGACCTGTTAAGGGAAGCATCACTTAACACATTCTGTAAGTGAGGCAGCTGTGCAGACGCTGACGAGGTCCTGCTGTTCCCTGAGGGGGTAGCTATCCGCCACCTGGGGCTTGCAGGAGTTCTTGCTCCTGCTTGTACAACCTGTGATGGCTTGGCCTAGAGCACCTCCCTGGGTGGCCAGAGCCATCAGGATTCAGGATCCTCCAGCTCCAGAGGCCAGAAGTCCAACGATAGCCCCCCCAGAGGACTAGGAAACATCACCCATTAGTTGCTGGCTTGTGGTAGTGTGTTTTCAGTCTCCCTACAGTGTCCTCTGAACTTGGGTGTGTATATGTCCAAGCTTTCCCTTCTGTGAGGACAGCAACCACACTGAGTTTGGGCTCAGCCAGGTGAGCCCCTCTTCCCTACCTTTCAAAGGCCCCGTCTCTGACTGGAGTCACCACTGAAGTAGAACTTTCACATTTGAAATTCGCAGTAGAGGGCACAGCAGTCTGCGAGTAGGATGTTCACCTGCTCGTGGGACAGCAAATTCCCCTTAGATTGGCAGCAGTGGATCTCCCAGAGGACAGAGCTCTGGGGATGGCAGCCTGTGATGGCCAAGCCACAGGGGCTGGCTCTCACCTCATCCAGGCAGTAGCCGGGAGGCCCTGTCTTTACCTGGGAATATATTGGAGAGATAACAGCCCCCAGGGACAGTGCTACAAAGGGGTGCCATAAGCTGTCTCCTCGCCAGAGTGTGGGTCTCCACCAGTCTAGAAACCCTGCCCTGACCTCTACACGCCCTGGATCCAAACAGTGTCTAATACCTTTGTTTAAACTAGGAATGAACAGTTGAGGACCGCCAGATGTTGTGGAGCATTTCCTGGAAGACTCAGACTTGAAAGGACAAGTTGGAAAGCAAAGCAGGTATGTGGCAGAAGAGATCTCAGCAGGGGCCAGACACCTAGAAAGCATGGTTACCCATAGGAAAGGGGCAGTATGAGGGTAAAGGACTGTTGCGAGGTATTGGTCCAAAGGGAAGGAGAATAACGTTTTTAAGCATGAAAGGAATGCCTATATCTACCTACTGTCTACCATCTGTTTTCAATCATTTACCTCTTGACTATCTCTCATCCATAATCTATTATCTATATACAATCTATCAATCATCTATCAGTATTAATTTATCTTCCACCTATCATTTGTCAAACGATCAAACTATACACATATTTCTTCGCTTTCCCCTGAACTCTTCTTTTTAAATTATTGTGTAATATGCTGTAATAAAAGAAGGAAGGAAACCATGCAAAATCAAAATCCTGAAGCAGAGGCCCAAAGCCAAGTGAGGCAAGGAAGGATCACAAATATGAAATAAAGATATTTGAAGAGTTGGAAAAATTTTGAGACACTTAACAACTGTCTTAAGTTGCACTTCCTGTCGTAGCAGGAAGTACAAAGAAAACTGAACAAATAAAACTATGAGACAACTCTTAACTCCCGGAAGAACAAACAGACATGAATGTTGTGTGGGAAAGGGGGCGTGTTGGTAGCTGTACCCTGGACTTAGCATGAACAATCTGTGCCTCATGTTACCAACTCGGACTCTGTGGGAAGAGAGGACAGGGAACTGGGGGTATCTGAGAGGGACAACTTGCCTACCCTAGCAAAACTACACTGAAATGTCTCCTAATCAGGAAGTGTCCGAATAGTATATTACGTACACATACAGAAATAAGTAGCAGAAAGCAGTCTTATAAAGAAGCCAGTGACTTCCTCTGTGATGTAGGGAAGGGTTGGGCACCAGGCCCACAAGTTTTAACATAAGCTACTTAAAGAGCTTTGATTTCACTGTGTGGTTGTACTTAAGCTAAAATTAGAAGCATAATTTCATAGCAGAAGCGCGAGCTGGGGAGCGCACACAGCGCAGGCTTTCTGGCAGGAGGGTGTGTTGACTTTGGTGCAGTGAGCCTGCCTTGAGGTTTTCTGTGCATGCTGGCAGGGCTGCCAGGGAGACTCCACGCCGTCCATCACTGTCCCTGGGAACGGGCCTTTGTGACAGGATGCTTTCCACATTAACACCTTGTTTGTGTGATGTCGACAGCTCTGCTGTCCCTTGCAGGGGTCAGGGGTCAGGGGTGCAGGGGTGCAGGGCTGAGAGGCTCCAGATTCCCTCTGCTGGTGTGGGCAGGGCCTCCACTCTCCACAAGGATCCTTGACGACAGCAGCTGTTAGAGCTCCTGGGACAGTCCACAGCTTGGCCACTCTTAGGAGTTCATAGCTTCTTCGATCAGCCCACCTCCATCCGATCAGTCCTCTTGGAAGGGATCTCCAGATCCCTGTGATACTGTGCTCCGTCATGATATCCTCTGACCTCCTACCAAGGACAAAGACAATGGAGCCGGGGACAAGAGAGGCATTTTCTGGGACTGCGGGGTTCGCACTTGCAGGGTATTCAGCATTTTTTGGAAAGTAGGGCTGACATAGACCAGTGACATGAGAAGAAGGTGGTTTGACAAGGGACATGTGGACAGAGATGCCACTGCGTTTGGTGGGACTGGCCATGTTGGAGACCTGGGGGTCAGAACTGAACAGGCCGCATGCAGCTGCAACTCTATGCAAGAGTTCTATGCAGCGGAGCTCTGATCCCTAGTTATGCCTTTATGGTACCTCTTGGGGTGGGACCTTCCTTTTATGGGAACCCATGGGGGTTCCAAGATGGGAGAACATCTGGATAATGCAGCCATGTCTGGGGAGGTCAAGGTGGAAATGGCCAGCACACCAGAGGGACCAGCCGTGATCTTGAAAATGCAGATCTAGGCTGGGATTGCTGGTATACTGCCTGGAGAGTGCTCAGGCTAGTAATCCCAGCACTTGGAAAGGAAAGGCAGGAAGATCAAGATTTCAAGGACATCCTTAGCTATCATGGTGAGTTCAAGATCAGCCTGCAGCTACATGAGACCATGTTTCAAAAGAAAAACAAACCCAGGGAACACTGCTCAGCTGTCCAGAACATGCAGCACTCCTCGCTGACTCATGGGGCCAGGCCTGGCTCTGGGTGTCTTGCTTGCAGGGCAGGGAAGGGCTGGGCTTCCCTCGGCTTTGGGCCTGTCAGGTCATTTGGTATACTTGTGAGATCAACAATCTTCTCCTGCTTTAATCCGAAGCAAAGGTTCTGAAGTTGTGGCCACTGATTTATCACCACCAGGTGTTTGGTGCCACCAAGATGACACGGAGTGGGGTGGGGGAGGGGAGGCCCAGCCACCATCCAGTGTCTGTTTCCACAAAGCTCCCACGAGGCTAGCACACTCTGAATCTAATTATGTGCTGGCCATACCTGCTCTGTTAATGATGATGCAAGTTGACCTGGTGACACAGTAAAACTGCTTTTATGTCCTGGCTGGATGGGACAGTTTCCTGAGTCCAGATCACGAGTCCTGCTCTCTGAAACAGCCCAAGGACCACAGGAGAAGGTTAGCTCAGGTGCACACAGTTGGCTACAACTAAGCCGTGCCGTTCGTCTGTTCCGCCTCCTTCTCTGGAGGCTCTTGGGGATGCCCTGCCGCACAGGGCAGTGGGGGGGTGTACTCCCACCCCCTCCTGTTGTTCCTGGAATCCTGTCTGCTTCGGGGTGGCACAGGGCAGAGCAGGCCTGGCCAGAGGAAGTGCCTGCTCTTCGGAAGTCACAGCACATATCTCACGTCACCTGTCCCCGAAGCCAGCTGCTTCCTCTGCCTCGGAGAGACCAGCATCCTTCGCTCAGGTGACAAGAGGGCCTGGGCTGACTGGGCTGCTAGTGTCATTAGGTGTGCATTTCTTTAGGTAGTGATCCCGTAGGGTGAGGCCTGGTTAGGCAGGCTCCAGAGAGCCAGATATGGCTGTGCACCAGACTGCTTTAATGGGTGAGTGATCATTCATTCATTCATTCAATAATTGGTTCACACATGTCTAATGTATGCCAGAAAAAGAGCAACTGACCACAGAAACCTAGTCCAGGACCTATGGAGTGTGACAGCTTAGGCAGAAAGCTGGTTTAACAATTTTCTCTCCAACCCTATTTCTTCCTCCCCTCACTCCCTCCTTCCATCCCTCCTTCCTTTCATTCCTTTTCTTTCTGACAAATCTTCTTGTAGCCCAGGCGGGGCTGGCTTTGAACTTGTAATGTATCCAAGGCTGACCCTGAACCTCTGATCCTGCTTCCCAAGCGCTGAGATTACAGGTGTGCACCACCATGCCTGGTCTATGTGCTACTGGGGCTCTAACCCAGGGCCTCGTTCGTGCTAAGCAGGCCCTCTACCAGCTGAGCCATAGCCCCAGTCCCTGCCCCCTTTCCAGCCACAGCTGTTTTTTATTTTGTGCGGTGTGTGTGTGTGTGTGTGTGCGTGCGCGCGCGCTCGCTCATGTGCACACATGTGAGAATGCCTATAGATCAATGCCCAGAACCTTCCTCAGTGACTTGTATTGCCTTTCTTTTATCATCATCTTCCTTCCTTCCTTCTTTCCTCCTCCTCCTCCTCCTCCTCCTTCTTCTTCTTTTTTTTTTTTTTTTTTTTTTTTTGATAAGGTCTCTCCCCAAAGTTGAAGTTCACAGACTGTCTACATCAGCTGGTTAGTGATCCCCAGAAATCCTCCTGTCTTCGTTTGCCCTCACATCGGGGTTCCAGATGTGGACCGCCATGCTCAGAGTTTGGATGGCTCTGATGTTCTGAACTCAGCAAGCACTGTACTGGCTAAGCCATCTCCCCAGTCCAGCTGTCTGGACTGTCTGTCTGTCGGTCTGTCTATCTATCTAGTCTATAGCAGTTATCTTAGGATGTCCAGCTTACGTCTTTTATGTTCACAGCCTGGAGAACAGTCTTGAGAGAGGACTCGGGTATAACCCTTGCCCCTCTGTGCACAGCAGAGCTGAGAGCTACACTAGGCCACAGGCTGGAGTCTCCAGAATGGGTGGCCAGCTGTTGAGCGGGGTGAAGGGGTGGGGGACTGACATGGGACATACAGGCACCTTTACCTGCTCCCCTCTCTGCTCTCTGGTCTCCAGGGTGCTGGCAGGGGAAGGCTTTGTTGACTCAGGACCGAGAGGCCACAAGTTCAATCATTTAAAAAAAGTTTAAAAGGGAGTGTTAAAAGAAGATGGAAGTTATAGTCTTTCCAAAACATCAGGGATCTGGGCAGATTCTTGCTCATTTTCTCTTAGCAAACTCTGTGAGGTGGACAGTGAAGTGAGAGAACTTTTAGCAGAAATGTTCCATGTAATGACAGTTTTAGTGGGAAACAAGCGTTCAGCTTGGGGCAGCTGACCAGACGGTGGGGATGGTGCTTTCTGCCATGCAGGGGACCTTCCCTGCCCACATGGCTGACACCATGAGTGAGTCTGAGTCTTTAAGAAAATTCCATTTTCCTGGCACCGTGATTCCACCCACCCTAGCTAGATTTGCAGGAGATGGGCTTCTTCTCTGTCAAAGCACGTGGAAGCCAGGAGACAGCTCTCATGGGCCCTTCAGAGAGCTCGAGGTGTCCAACCAAGGCAGATTCCTTCCACGCCACCTCCCCTGGGTATCTCAGGCTGCCTGCTTCCAGCCCCAGATCTGGTGAGCAGGATACAGCAGGTACCTAGGGCGCTGGCTTGTTCCAGACGACAGCTGTCTTGTGGCTTGTGTCCAGGTGAAACCAATGACCCAGGGGAGCCCCACTGACCCCTAACGGATACAGTATGTGTGCACAGCAAATTTTGCTTGTAACACTCATCTGTCTGTCTACATGACTACTCTTTGGGATCTTTCCTGCTTCTGGAAGATGCCCCATTTCCTTTCCCTCCTAGAATGAGGCAACCCATTCTTTTGGTTTTATTCTCCCTTTACCATCTGTCCAGTCACATTTAGAAACTTCCATCTCCCTGCTCCTCCTTAGATGATGCTCTAGAGCCTCCA